GAGGTAAATATCCACCGCTAACCACCGACACTGAGGTGAATAGTTGTTTTAATATATACTAAAACAGTGAGATAATATACACCACCGTCGTTAATTTGAGTGATTTCTTCACTTGTCACGGATGCAAACTGGGATGCCATTTTTTTCCGAGTTGCTTGGAGGTAAAATAATAGCAAAGGATATTCGGAGTTTGACTAGCCAATCAGAGCGCGCCTTCAACGCTATCCACTGTTTTAGCATATACTAATAATTGTTATTAAATAGTGGCAAAAATAAAGACTTGCTTGCCGTTTAATTATTTCACGCGAAAGAAATGGGAAGGTAGGTGAGAATATTTTTGGACGAAAAGACATGGACAAAAAGACTTTTGGACGAAAAGACTTGGACGAAAAGACTTCTGGACGAAGACCGTAATTCGTCTATTATCAACAAATGCAAAGTTGCTGAGTAATCGTTTTCAATCACGGCGAATAGCTCGCGCTACCCACATTCTGGCTTCAAACTGTCCAGCAAAACTACGAAACCGTTCTTCGGACTACGATTAGATGTTACACTGTTGATATTTGACTTCTACTTAGACACCATTCGACAAAAAAATAATAATTTCTAGCGATTGTTCACGCCGGCGAAACCCAAGACATTCAGGGGTTGGAATTCTGCAACCTAGGAAAAGAAGCGTGCTAACAACCAACATCACAAGGTTTCCTCACCTCTCGCAGTAACCCAAGAAAATAGAAAAATAAGTGTCAGTGAGCGAGTGGCAAAATACATGATTCCTCTGTACATATCCACTAATATTCTAATGTACTGACTGGTGATGTAGCCCAAAATTAAAAGAGGTGACGTGCACGTGGTGTGAATGTCACGTAGTGTAGTATCCAGTGACTGAGAAGTCAACAACGCTGGGGGTGGGGGAGACAGCAGAGTGCGGAGGGAAAAATTATTTCCTGCGAGTCGTTCAGCGACCTTATGTTCGAGGAATACCATAGAGACCTTGAATGGACCGAAATAAAATCAATTCACAATGAAGTATGCCCAAGTAAACGAAAGAATAGAATATTACATTTTTCTACCCCCCCCTCAGGCTAGTTTTGTCACTCCTACCCAATTCTCTCTCAGTTACTTTACTCCCTCCTGTCTCTCTCCAATGGCAGTGAGAATTTATCAATCACTTTACCTAACAAAATTTCAAAAAGAGAACTTCTTTCACTTTCTCGATGAAAAGAAATTAAAGAATAAATCTAAAGCAAACGTACTCGATCATTTAACAATAGATCCACGAAATCATTCATGGCCCTTCGCATTTATTTTTAAATAAACAATGAAAGGCAATTAAAAGAAAGACGGCTGAAGATATTTGACTATCAAAGTTAAACATGTCCAGTGTCGGTCGAACTTCTCGGGAAAAAAAGCAAGCACTTTGCCGAGCAAGCCCCGTGGCAAAAATAAAAGACCTGTCCGCTCTAATCAGTCGATGAGTTGAAAGAATAAAAATGAAAAACGCTCTATTTCTCTCATCGCGAGAGGACTTCTTTGTTGATGTAGCCATATCTATCCACACATAGAAATTCGGTAGTTTTCCTTTGAGTCAACTCTCGCGGGGAGTCTGGGCGATTTGTTCGAACATCCCACGTACTTTGAGTTCGAACACGCCTAGCGCGCGGTACTGTTGAGTAGTGCTGCATCCAATAATAATTCTTATGATATAACTTACTTTATGGGTTTCCCTGCGAGAATAGGCAAGGTTTTGCTATCTCCTCTGCTCTCTCTTTATACCAAGGGAGAACACTTGTATTTTGACAAGAGCAATACCACCGATTGCGAACACGAGTAAAAAAGGGGGACGCAAGGCCCTCAACTCTTCCATAGCCACGTTCCGCCGGAGGAGTGAAATCGAACGTAGCCACCGTGACGAAACCCAAGACCGCTGACTCCATATTAAAATTTCCCAGACTCTTTTGCTCTAAGAAGCCTTTGGGTGTAAGATCACTAGATTTCCCAGATGAGTAGTGTGAAGGCTACTCTATCTACGCAGGAGTTATTAGCGCTAGTTTGACATGCGTACCCGTGATACAGATGTAATGCAAACGATGCTCTCAGGTTTCTGGCTCTCCAAAAATTTCACGATTCCCACCATAACAACGGTGAGGAACGGTTTTCCAACGTTTTCCGGAGTTAATCACCATGAATGTTAATTGCACCGATTATTAATTTTTCACCCATATATTTTCTCGATTTGAGATCATTGAGATCCATAAACAGTTAAACTAAGTTGGGCTCAGGACAATGCCACCAGAGAACTATAACGAAGTTTAGGTTATCTCTTAATTACCTCAATAATTTGTGTTATATTATTGTAAGCTATTATTTGGCAGGTCGCGAGTAGCGGGTAAATGGTCGCAGGTCGTAGGTGAATGGTCGTGGCATGGGTCGTGGGTGAAATAATAATCATCACTAGCTAAGTGCTGTTTCGTCGTGTTCATGACACGTGAAAGTAGCGGCGATAAGAACAAAACTGGACATCAGCCACAGTGTTTAATTCAGCTTATCCTTATCTGAGATAGTAATACAAATCACATATTAAACTCATCGTTAAAAGTTTGAAGAGGCTAGCGTGCACTACAGCAGGTAAGGTAATAAACTCCTTATCGTGTTAAAGGCTGATAGGGGGAAACTCCACTAAGGGCCACCTATCTGCAACGGTGAACTCTCCACTGCACTACTTTTTTTCTCCTTGGGGATACATTTACTCATGGCAAGTCACCCTACAACAGGCCCGTAGCCTGGTTTTTTCCTGGGTGGGTTCTTTTTCGCTTAAAACGGACCTTCAATGTTAAACTTAATGTTGTCGCAGAAGATTTTCCAGTTGAAGTCGACTGGGGTGTGGCCCGGGAATAACGTTAACAGTCCACCACAGTGTCCAAGTCCACAGGGGTAGTGTAGTAAATGTGCAAAAGCGCAAGATGGGACAAGCGATCTTTTCCCATCGATGCACGCATGTAGTTATTCCGGCAGTCGTCGCAATGTGCTTGCGCTTCGTTCGCATTCGCAAGAGCGGTGACTGGAATTGTGCAGGCAATTTGGAGAAGAATGCTAATATTTGGAAAGAGGGCAGCATTACAATCTTTGATTGCCACAGCAGGTGAAGCTGGCCTTAATTGCGGTTTCATTGCTAAGTATCGACTTCTCCATCGCGTAAGTTCCATTTCGAGCAACTCAGGGGACGGGAGATCATCAGTGTAAGTGTTAACAGCTGCATTGAGGTTGACCTTTCTTGAACAGAGAACGCTTTGAACGAGGCCTAGTAGTGATGTGGCAAATTTTACCGAAGGCGAAAACTGCTCATCGATACACATGATAATGTGATCAAGTAAAGGAATTGCCAGCTTTGGAAATACTCTCTAGGAGTTTGGGCTTCAGCATTTGGGCGATGCTGTTGTCTTGATGTCAGTCGGGGCATTTCGGCAGCTGTACCCACCTTCTCAGTGATTCAAAGGTGATTCAAAGGCTTCTTATCATAAAATTATCGTCTATTCTTTCCTTTCCACAATCGTCACATTTGCAGGAATAGTGTCACGTTTTCACAACTAAGGTTTCAGTAATATTTTTTCTACGTGCGAGACATGTTTTAAGCCAGTCAAATTATTAGTGAGTAGGCCACTGTGCGGACCTTTCCAGGCAGTGGGAGAGGGGGTCGTCCAAGCCCCCCAAGCCTACGGGCCTGTTACAACGACCACTATGGTGGCCGAGAACTGCTATTAAAAATATTCAAATTTATAGGAATTCTTTTTGTTATTTTTTTTTTAATTTCGATTTATTTCTCATTTTTCTTTTTAAAATAAAAGCAAGTGAAAGTAAAATGTAAAATAGAAATAAAATGAAATCAAAGATAAATGAAATCAAATTGAAATTAAATACTACCCGGCCGAGCGCTGCCACATGGCCGAGGGCTGCCAAACAAACCTAGAATGCACTACCATCAAAAAGTTCATGAGAAGCAATTTCTGGGTCAAATAATTCATACCCATGTCCTTGTATGTCTAGCAGCATGAGCTTTTTGTCTGACTTTTCATAAGAAAAATGGGTTAGACATTGAGCCTTCTGACCCATAACATCTGTTTCCTCGACACAACAATCACCAGTATTGTTTAAGTTCTAATCTCCACAGTCACAAATTTTCCTTTATCATCTTCACTTGTTAATGGATCCTGGTACCAGTGGTCGGGAGCTTCTAGACTTGTGTGATATAATCAACCTGGACTGTTTAATAGACAAACCTACAAGGATTACTCATGCCCAGTCAAAAATATCTCAAACCTTAATTGATGTAATACTCACTAGCAGCAGTAGAAGGTTTCTTAAATCTGGAGTCTTTGAACCTCATCTCAGTGACCATTCCTTGGTTTTACACCATTATCAGATCATTTTCTAATTATCATAGAGCAAGGAAAGTTACTTATAGGAACTTCAAAGATTATAACAAGGACAAGCTTTTGGATGATCTGGCCTTAATTCCCTTTCATGCTATCTCTGTGTTTGATGATGTATCTGATCAGGCTTGGGCCTTTAGCAAGCTATTTACTGATGTCATAAATACTGATGCACCCATTAAACAATTCCATCTCAGGGGTGGGCATGCGCCATACCTGACTCCACAGTGGAGGAAAGCAATTCAGCACAGAAACAATTTATGGAAGAAATACAGACGTGATCCTTGTATTACCAACTGGAATTTGTACAAGAAGCAGAGAAATTTGTGTACTTCACTAAGATGGAAGTCAATAGCTAATTACTTTCATCAGAAAGCAGACCAGTGTTCTTCTAAGCCAAAAGATTTCTGGAAATTCTTTGGTTCTCTTTTTCATTCTAAGAAGGGTCATCATCCATTCTCCATCTTTAAAATCTCGCTATCAGGGGACTAAAATCCGTGACTATTCGAGATTCTCGGAAGAAAACTTTATTAGTGACATTTCTCAAACTGACTGGACCGGTTTGATCTCTAATGGCTCTATTGACAAACGCTTTTCTTCGTTCTACAACAGATTGAATAAAATTGTTAATAGACATGCTCCTCTCAAATTTGTATCAAAACGCAAGGCCAAGCAACTATCTAAACCGTGGATAACTAGAGGTTTACGTAGATCAATAAAAATTAAGAACGATCTCTTTTACTCTGGTGACACGGCTACATACAAGTTGTACAGGAACACAATTTTAAGCCTTACTCGCCAGAGTAAAAGACTTTACTATCAATCCTATTTTAGTAGCAACCTAAATAATATGAAAAAAACTTGGGAGGGGATTAACACTTTAATTAATAAGCACAAAAAGACTAAGCTCGTATCGTCGCTCCAGCTTCCAGACAACCGGGGTACAACACAAAACCAATCAGAAATAGCTAATGCACTGAATTATCATTTCGCATCTGTCGGACCTAAACTTGCAAATAGCATACCATTATCCACCAGGGACTTTAAGGATTACCTAGGGAATTCAAATTACACCAATTCTTTCTTCTTTGGAATAAGCAAAGGTATCGGTATTGTTGCAAGGCTAAGACACTTGGTACCGCTCACTACTCTTATAAACATTTACCGCTCGCTCATTGAACCGTATATTTCCTATGGTCTCGTTGCTTGGGGCCAAGCCGCCAATACTCATCTAAACAAAATCGTCATTTTACAAAAGCGGGTTCTTCGTCTAATGCACTTTTCCGATTATACATCTCACAGTGCTCCTCTTTTTAGTCGTTCGGGAATTCTACCGATAAAAATGCTTTACTTCAAATTGGTTGCCTCTCTGTTACATGACATCAAAAATCGCTGTGCTCCTCTCAATATTTCTGAACTTTTTACTCACTCTGAACAGGTTCATTCCTACTCTACTCGTTTCTCAGTAGCTGGAAGCTTTTATATAAAACAGGCGAGAACAAATCATCAGTTGTTTTCCTTTTCTAGAGTTGGTGCGAAAATATGGAATGGCATCCCCCCTGAAATTCGTAAGCTAAAGAAAGCACCTTTTAAACGTGAGCTAACTCACTTGCTTTTGAAAATTCTTGAAATTGAGGAGATGAATGTTGACTTGCGCTACCTTGACCTTTCTAGCTTATATTTGTATTTCAACTGATTAGCTTTCTCTTTGACCTGTTAAAAACTCCCTTGTGTGACTGGCTCAGTTAAAACCTTTAACATGATTATTACTACTATTATTTATTATTTATTTTTATTTGCTCATTTATTTATTTATTTCATGTACATTTGCGTGTGTGTGCGCGTGCGTGTGTGTGTGTGTGTGTGTGTGTGTGAGAGCCTATACAGTGTCTGTTTAGGTAGCCCGCCTAGAATAGCTTTGCTAACTGTGGGCTACAAAAGCCTTTATTTCTTTCATTTTAAAAAATAAAGTCAATGTTGTTGTTGTTGTTGTTAGGGTCAAGCAAATGACATTGTTTTACAAGAAAATAATGACTTTATTACAGATAAGTCTACCATAGGGAAATTATTTAATGAATACTTTATTAATATTTGTGATAATTTTCCTTTACCGAATAAGGATATCTATGGTTCTGATTTTTCAAGCCATCCTAGTATCCTACACCATTAACAGCTTAGTTTATGTCTACAATTAATGATCAGAGTGATCAGAATAATCAATTTAGTTTACATCCCACTTGCGCTTTTACTGTTACTGATATAGTTCTCTCTTTCTTCTTTGATATCATCAGGTTATGATATCCTTATTCGCTTAGTTAAAGATAGTATTCCCGCTATTTCCCAAGTTCTATCTAATTTATTTAATTATTCTATTACCTTTCCTACTTGTTGGAAATTGGGCCAAGTCACACCTGTATTGAAAAAAGGTATTGAATATTCTAAAAGTAATTATAGACCTATTATTACTTTGGCCACTTTTGGTAGTATATTTGAACGAATCATTGCTGGTCAGTTGAATGAATTCTTTAGTGACAAGCTGTCCCAATTTTTATCAGCCTATCGTCACCATTACAGCTGTGAGACTGCTTTGATAAATTTATTGGAAGAGTTTCGAAATGGTCTGGACAAACAACATTTTGCTTCTATTATTAGTATTGATCTGTCCAAGGCCTTCGACAGCTTGCTACGTGATTTAATTTTAGCCAAACTTGCTGCCTATGGTATCATCATCCAAAAGTTGTGCATTTATAGGTAATTACTTAACTGATCGCTTACAGAGAGTAAAATTAGGCAATCAATTTTCAGATTGGAGTCCTCTTCTTAGAAGAATACCTCAAGGGTCTGTATTAGGTCCCCTTCTTTTTAATATTTACCTAAATGATTTACTATTATCTAGCCTTCAGTCCAAAATAAGTTCATTTGCCAATGATACTCAGATCTTTGATATTAATAACGATGTTTCCCTATTACATGGACACCTACAAACTGATCTTGTCACTGCTCATTCCTGGTTTTGCTCTAATGGCCTTNATTTTAATATCCTTTGCTTTAGAATTATATTTTGTATTTTATATATAGATAGTATTTAGATAGTTAGTAATAAGATTAATTTTAAATATTTTAAATTTAGATAATTTAACTCGGAGATATTAGCATGTATTTGCTATCTTAAATTCAAGTATAAATAAAGTTGTTGTCATTGTCATTGACTTGTTCTTGTTTCGCAACCCTCGACAATTTACTCGTGACCCAAGAAAATTCATTGACGACTCGCAACAATATACCCGCGACCCGCAACAATTTAAATACAAAGTTCCGCGCATTGTGCTAATATTAATTTTTCTTTTCGTTGATTTATTTTCGACTTGAACGACAGACTTCGCCCAAAAGCAGGGACTGCTTGTAGTCTACCGATTGGCCAATCTCTCACTCACCAAAACAAGTTTGTAGGCCAACTAAATTCTTTACACAATTATGTAAGCCTTAATTAAACTTACATATTACCGAGATTTCCTTTAACAGACCAGTCTTAGGGAAAAAGTTCATACCAGTGACAACCGTCGAAAAAAGATGCTTTTAATTCATTCACTAAATAAATATAAAAGACGTAAAAATTTCTCTATTGACAAATCATTTCCTTGTACTTGGTGCATACTACTTAATATATACAGCTTGTACAGAAATCAAAGCTATGAGAACCATCAACAATCTACCAATTCGTGACCATGTTACTGCCCATTAGGCCTTGGCCTAACTAAGCCTCCTAACATAATTAAATTGAGTACGTATCAACTATTCTACAATCATATTGTAGACAAAAAAATCTTCTAATTTTCCATTTTCTTTTGTATCTGAGATCCATGATTATGCCACTAGAAGTACATCTTTGCAACACCTGAACCCTAGCTCCCTCAGAATAAATATAA